GAAAAACACTTTCCTGAAAATCAAGCCAAATTTTTCTTTGATTGAAAAATATTTTTCGTTGACCAGAAAGTATTTTTCGTTGACTAGAAAGTATTTTCCGTTGATTGAAAAGTGTTTTTTATTGACTGAAAAGTGTTTTTCATTGATCGAAAAATATTTTTTGTTGATCGGAAAGTGTTTTTCGCTGACCAACAACAAACACGGGAAAATTTAGAAAGTAATTTTTCAAAAACTACTTTTCAAAAACAAATATTAATATGCTTATTTAGATTAATTTAAGTTATTTTTTTAAGTGTTTCCTATTCAAATTTTTCAGGAAAATACTTTCCTAAAAACCAAGTCAAATTTTTCTTTGACTGAAAAATGTTTTCCGTTGACCAACTTTCTTAACATCAAATAAACATAAAAAAGTTTGGAAAGTGATTTCCCGGAAACTACTTTTCTGAAAACCAAGCTAAATTTTTCTTTGACTGAAAAATGTTTTCCGTTGACCAAAAAGTGTTTTTCATTGATCGAAAAATATTTTTTGTTGATCGGAAAGTGTTTTTCGCTGACCAACTTTTCTAATGGCAAACAAACACGGAAAAGTTTAGAAATTGATTTTCCAGAAACTACTTTTCAGAAAAAAATATTAATATGTTTATTTAGATTAATTTAAGTTATTTTTTTTATTTTTCTTCTTTAGATTTTTTTTTTATTGATTGAGAACTTATGTTCGTCGTGTTTTTCACTTTAATAACCTTTTATTTTGAAGTTTTCTTATTTTTTTTGTTTTAATTTATCTGTTTACGTCGTTGTTTTTTTTATAATCTAATTAAATTTTACCGGCTCTTTTTTTATCTTCTGTTCCATGGGGTAATACCTTGGATTATTTTTTTATTTACTTTTTAAAAACACGCTTGCACTGTCTAGGTTTCTTTTTTAACCCAATATATCATAACCCATTTTTAGATCCTTATAAATAATAATAAAAATATTCGGGCCTACTGGTAGTGTGTACGCACAAATTAAGTGCCTAAACTGAAGTACAAAGCCTCTCTTTCTTCAATGCTGTTTGCACTGGAGAAGAAACCGACGGGACGAGGCATGCGTCAATAAACAGACTCAACATTAACATTATACTTTATAGTATAAGGATAGAGCGGGCCTAATGCACCAGGAAAGACAGCCTATTATAGTCAAACCCCTTTAATCGAAAAAAAGGGGCCCAAACCATATGGGCCACCTTTTATTTTATTTCTCCTCTTCAATTCCCCTACTGCTCCTCTATTGACTTTTCCATCATCTTCTCTGCAAGATAAATAAAGGAAGACGGAGAGGAAGACAACAGTGACAAAAATCGCCGGAGAATTCTACGGCTTTCAAATCACCGGTGAGTTCTTTTTCTAAGCTTTGATTTCGCAACGTTTTTTTAGCTTTACTCTACGATTAATTGACGATCAGGTATTTCAATTGATCTTTATGGTTGCAAAAAATCGATTGAATTGGAGATTCTCAATTTCTATTGCTTGTACTTACTGTCATTATTGGATTTTGATATTTTTTTCTTTTTAATTGGAAAAGCTCATTTTTCGCTATTGTTTTTTTTAAAGTTGAAAGAGGCCTTTTTTTTTTTTTTCTTTTTGAGGAAAAAGAATTAAATATGTTTTTAGTAATCTTTTATATGAAGAGTATTAGTCTTTGTAGAAACGCTTGGTGCTGTAGGTGCAGCTTATTAAAGAAGTCAAGAGTTTCATCCGCCTGCATTCAGATAATCTTAAATAAAAATAATAAATAAATGACTTCATCCAAATAATTATGAATTTATTAACAATATAAATACACTAAGAAATGAATAATAATGATAGTAATAAAAATAATAAAAATACCTGGAGAAGCATATCATCACATGTCTATATGTGCCCCTTTAGTTTGCTGACATGGTGCTTGATACTTCTCCTCCTCCTCGTAGCAGAAAACACAAAGATAAAAAAAAATCCACGACAGAACACATTTGCAGAAGAATAATCACCATGACAACTAACCTGTGATTTTGTTGCCGATTTAGGATCAGTAAGCCATTTACCGATTTTGTTGCCGATTTAGGATCAGTAAGCCATTTACCGATTTTGTTGCCGATTTAGGATCAGTAAGCCATTTATAGAACTGCATCATATAAATTTCAAATCATTATCAAGCTGCACTATAAGCATTGACTTATACCTTTAATCAAAGTCACCTATCACGCGAATATAAGCAAAAGTGCGCGTGATTTACTTGATTTGTATTGACTAAAACTGCATCAATGCCTTGAGATTCAGCAAAACTGCTGTCCTTAGTAGAAATTGTCAAGCCACCATTCTCCTTCACAGACGCATGATCTTGCACCTAAAACAACCACAAATCTTACAAAAAATAAAAAAGAAAAATAAATAGAAATCTCACCATTTTTTACGGTTAGGTCATGAGAGATGACACAATTTCTGCTTGTTGGTGTTCCGTTAAAGGCACATTCTATTTATAACAAAAATGAAGCAGCGATTGTCAAATAAAATAATAGATATCAGCTGCTAACTAGCATAGGAATGTGAATCAAGTCAAAGACCAAGTTGTAGATATGAGAGAGTGAGTTAGTGAGATTAGTAACATCAGTTCCAATGATTTAAGTGCAAAAGATTGAAAGAAGAAGTGGAAGTGAAGTTGTGTCCTTTAGAGATGGCAATTGATTTGTGGAGATTTGGAGGACTTGCTTGTTTGCCATGTTTCTCAATTCAGTTTTCAAAACTTTAGGGAGAGAGGTCTACTATCGTCTGTGTAACTGACTGGACTCACCAACAGTTTGATGGACGAGTGAGAGTCCCTGATAAGGAACGAAACTTAAAGCTCCATGTAGAAGATGGGTATAACAGATAGACAAACTAATAGGATGCTGGTTTTATATGAAATGGCGAGCAACTTTCAATTTAAACCAAATTGATAGGGTGTGTAGTCACTTTGGTAAGAAACCAAACTAACCAATTGGTTTATTTTCATTGTTATAATAACAATTTACAAAGCCCTATTAAAAAAAAAAAAAATCAACAATCATCCGCATATCATATCATACCTGCCACTTTTTTCTCTAAACTTCACAAGCTGACTCTCTCACTCAAGCTAGTGGCAACGACAATAGCAACAACTAGGTAGCCATAAATTTGGCAGGGCTATTGCCTTCACCTTAGAAGTTATATTGCAAAAGGATTTTCATAGATCTATTTCTTAGTACTAACCAAATCTCTCCTGGAGGAATATAGAGCAGCTACCCCTAAATCCAGCAACTTTCTCTTTCTTGACCACTGTAGCGGCCCTAAATCCCCTCCCTCTCTCAGGTCTTTTGACTATTTCTATCAATAATTGTTTGATTATATGCGTAAACAAATACCCAATTCGTGAATGTGGTGGTTTGCTTAGTCTTGTAAATATATATTTGCTTTCATTCCATTTGTCTGTACTTTGTTGTTTGATTGGTTGAATGGAGGTCTTGTGTGCTGTTTTCATTTGTGCAAGTATTTTGTTATTTTAGATAAACAATATTTGTGCTTAAAAGCTTGATCATTGATATATATTTTTCTTTTGTATTAATATAAAGTGATCAAACAATAAGAGTTTGCACTCTTTGATCAAACTGTTACGGTAAATTGTGAAGTTGAACCTACTGAGCTTTTACTTTTGTTTTTGTTCCTTGTCAGTGTTAATTTTTCCCATGTCCTCTCTGTAATTTTAGCTTGCAACATTAATCATGTTTTTTTCCATTCTTTTTCATAAGTTATATGACATGCTTTTGTCAAATGGCTGAAATGTCATGCTTAATTTTATATGATCCATGATCAAAAGAAGAGACAAGATTAACTCGAAAAAAAATGTAAATTAAATGAGTAAATAAAGAAATAATTTTCTTTGAAAAAAGGAAAAGGCAAGCCTGGGCTAGCCATTGCCTGGGCCTGGCTTGCTAGGTCCTTGCGCACCGGGGTTAGATGCCTCTGGCTAGCACACATAATTATGAAAGAAAAAGGAAAACATACCAAGCTGTTTTTCATAGCTTTGCTTCTCTTTAATAGGCAGCAAGACAGACAATAACAAAGATGTCATTGTCTTGGATTTTGAGGATCACAAGAAATGGCAGCCATTGGTTTGTCTCTCATCGACCCTCATCTTATGGATTCTTGCTCTCCAACAATTCCCACTCTTCTACACGAAAGGTAATACTAACAAATCTCCTTTATTGATTTCGTATGTTCTATGACATTAGCAAGCTCATTCTCAAATGGGGTTCTTCATTCTTTTATCCCTTTTCATCTTGGCTTGTTTCATTGGTTTTTCAAGTGGTTGGGCTGTGGAATTGATGGGGAAACAAAAATGAGAACATTGCCTGTTTTTCTTTTTTGGAGCTGTTGGGTGAGCTTAAAAATGAGGAAATGAAATGATAGATTTAGTCTAGATCATTGTCAATGCTGGGGGTAATAAACTGCTAATTCAGTGACGAGTTGTTGCTGCAATCAAAGCCAGTGTTTAGAGGGCCTTTCAGGCTTGGAATGAACTTAATTAAAACACTAAGTTTCTTTAATCTTTGTTTGAATTGTTGGTTTGTTTTGAGTGCAAGTTTTTCCTAGTAATTTGTGCCAAATAGAGCTTTCTTGATGAGGATCAGGGTGTGCTAACCCAATCATATGCAATAGATGATAGGGAAAATGACTTAAATAACTGAAAAGCTTCTAAATTGTGATGGAGTGATTCAACTGCAAAGGACTCATCAATGATCATTCGCTAGTGATGCATAGGCCTGCTTTATGATTTGGAATGAAATGATCGGGAGTAAGCTAATATACTGGAGTTGAGGGAAGAGATAACAACAGGATATTTAAAGTCTAAAAGAAAACATCTGTGATACGAATTTTTTTCTATAAGGTTTAAGTCTCATTATACATGGTTAGATTTGAGAAGACTGGATGTTATTTTAATTTTGTTTGGTATCGATTTCTTTGAAGGATCAACTAGGTTTAGATCCGTGTTTTAATTTGTAAGTTTTATACTTGGATTACAATTTCATGTTTGCATTAAGCTTTATACGTGATGTTTTAGGAGCTCAGTCTTTTATCTCTTTTTAAGTTTTCTACAATTGATTTGACTTACAGTTGTCTTACATATGTTGTAACCATTTATATTGTATTTGTTTTTGTTTCTGGTTATTAGTAGGTTTTCAATTGCAGAGAAACTTATTCTTGGACTGTACCTTCCTTTCATGTTTTCAAACATCAGATTCATCACCAGAGCAGTTCCTTAGTGGAGGTTAGATGTAGCACTCTCTTTTCATTTCTCTCCATGTTCTGTTTTTCATAATGTATTTATACATATGTATACATATATATTCCACTATATATTTTGGGTTTGTAAAAATTTATTCACTTATAACATGTACATGAGGCATGGGAATGTGGGGAGTTCATGATTGTGGGATATTTGCTATTCTTAAAGGATATTAGGGTTCACCTCTTTTCCCTTCTCCTGTTGGAACCTTTTAGTGTGTGATATGTATCCAAAGAAGCAAAAAGAACACTTCAATTATTATCCAATACTCTTTAATTATGTGTTGTAGACTTGGTGAGAAGTTTCATTAAAAAAGGTACTATACATTATTGTAAGCTTAGTGATAAATTTGAATGTGGACCTTTTGTTTGGAATGGAATAGCATGTGGGTATTTGAGCTAGGTTGTACCATGATATAGTCGTATTTCAAATTCATTTACAGATTTTAAATTCTTTCCTCTTTAAAGTTGAAGCCGCAAGTTTTGAATTTAGAGATCTTTTAAGGTTTTATGGTGTAGGGAATTAGGGTAGATATAACACAAGGTCCATTCCCTTTTATCTATTTATTCATTGAATAAACAAAGGTTTTATGGGGTTTTGAGATACTCAATTCTTTGAATTAGGTAGCTTGATAGTTCTTGACATCCTTGGTATACTTCCAGTGTATGAGAGGCAATGTTATTGGTGCCTTGATTGTCAAACATTGGTTTTCTGTTACTTGATACTGCTTCTGATCCATCTCACATTTTCTTGTGTGCTACGTTGCTCACTTCTATGATTCAATACTTTGTTTTCCAGGAACAGCTTGACCCATTTTCACTTGTTGCTGATGAGCTATCACTTCTTGCTAATAGATTGCAGTCAATGGTAATTGCTGAGGTATTTATTCTGTCTTTTTGCATATGTCAAATATTGTTGGTAGCAATAATAGATATGATTTTCCTTTTCTGTTTTAATCATGCTGATTTGATATGATGTGATAAAAATCGGATTCAAATTTCATTCACAGGTTCCTAAGCTTGCCTCAGCTGCCGAGTACCTTTTTAAAATGGGAGTACAAGGAAAGAGGTTCCGTCCCACGGTAACTACAATGATGCTTATGTGCTCATTATTTGGGTTTGCTTCAAGATTGTGTTCAGCTAGTGTCTTATGAGTTTATCTAATCTATGTTGAGTGTGATTTTGGTGGCTATTTTCTGGGAAGGAAGTTGTCCATATACTTCATTGCTTGTTTGAAATATTTAAGTGTGTTGTGCATACTTTTACTTTTTGGTAGTAATAAGCATGCAATAATATTATTACAGCAATGATCAAAGACATTATTACTTGTCGCTTTTGGACTAAGAAAATGTCTCAAAGTTCAAACTTGAGGCTTTGTGACTTAAGCTCACATTAAGGTCTGCAACTCCAAGTCTATTATTGATTCACCTTGTGCACTTGAAACTCGTCTCACATCCGGAAATTCTGCTCATTAGCTAGTCGATTTTAATCCAATATCCAATGGTATTACTTTTACTAATTTCTGTCTCTGAAACTCTGAAATTTTGAAAATATATGACTAAATAATTTGTAAAAAAATGCTTAGGAAGAACACATGATCAACTAACATTGCTTATGAAATGTTTTGTAAGGTATCATGCCTAGCCTAGATCATTTGAACTTTAGTCTGAAGCTACAAGCCCTTCATTATTTCTTGTTGAAGTTTTCTAAACTCTTAATGTTATTAACTGTTATCAAATATTTCAGATAGATCATATAACTCTTTAAGTTTTGTGTAGGTTTTGTTGCTGATGGCAACAGCTTTGAATGTGCGTATACTTGAAACGGAAACTGGTAGTGTAGGAGATGCTTTGACAACAGAACTACGTAAAAGACAGCAATCTATAGCTGAAATTACCGAGATGATCCATGTCAGTTTCTCATAGTTCAGTATTTTTCTTTTGCCAAATGCCTTTTTGCTATGACTTCATTCATTCATGCTTTGTATCAAGTAAAGGAACATGTTTGTTATTGCTTCAGTACTAATGCAGTTGTTCCACGTGTTAGGTGGCAAGTCTTCTGCATGATGATGTATTGGATGATGCAGATACGAGACGTGGTATTGGTTCATTAAATCTTGTTATGGGCAATAAGGTGCTGCAATATATTTTTCTTTTTTATTTAAGTTCCACTCGTCATTTTAATTTTCTATAATTTCTGCTCTAGTTTTTTTTTTAACTTTATCCTGATTTTCTTTTAAAGTGGAGTTGCAAAGCACATTTGTAGCGTGTAAATGCTTTTCACATACTGCTTTTCAATCTGTGCTTTCTCAATCTAGGTTTCTTAGCAGTTATGAGTTTCATTATTGTTGTATGTGGAATTTCAATTGTTTGTGTTCAGCACTGTAGGAAGAATTCAATATATTATCCAAATTGTTAATTCTGTCTGACCTTCCAGCACTGGCAGGCTTCAGGCTCCATATAAAAAGTAGAAACATTTGTTGCAAGGAGAGGCAACAACATTTTGGAACTTTATATGTAATGGTGTTGTGAATAAATAGTTGATCCCTGCTTGGTACTTGGGTTATGTTTGTTATGGGGTTAAAAATTTGGAGGTGAAATGTAAAGGATGTAACATTTAAGAGTTAATGGTTTTTGGTAAGATTATAAAAGATCATGGGTATTTGTGGTCCCCATGATTTGAAGTTGAATGCAAGTATAAAAACATTCAATAATATATATTTGTCTCTCCAAATGTGTGGTGGAAGGAAAAGAGAAAAAAATGGATACAAAATTCAAGAAAGAGAAGATGCATATAAGATGACACCCCCCTGAATATTTTTACCTACCCCCTCATCAGGGTGAAGCCGAACCTGCCTTCTATTTTTTTAACCTCCTTGAGATTTCACCCCTCCCCAAAACTGTACCAAACACAAGGAGGTGAAAAATTAAATAACCCTTGTAAGTTACATTCCCTTGTAATAAACACATCCATAGTAGATCTCTATCCACTGTGATGATCGCATCGGTGTCTCTTTCATTTAGAGGGCTTTGCATTTAGATTTGTATGTTCATGAGTCCTTGGAGGTCATTTTGCTGTGCAATTTTAGGAACTTAAGAGGTTGCAGGTTGTTGGTGAAATTTGATTCTGGAATAAAATGTTGATATTGAGCATTGCATTGAGTTCCCATACTATAGAGATATTGATGGGACGTTACTCTAGGTGCAGAAGTTTGGTTTTAATAATGTAGGGTATTAATGGTAAATATAGAGAATCAGTAATTGCTTTAATTGTTAAGGTAAATTGTATCAAGGAAAACACAAATAAATCTCTAGCTATAGGGTTATAAAATTTTGTGCTTATGAGTTCCCATAGCTATATGTTTTGGGGATGTTCAAGTGGTTTACTTCCACAATGAACTGTTTGCGAGCTCTGGCCCTGTATTTATATCTGTCTTTGGTAATATTCGATACCTTCTCCAAGATACTGATTATGGTGATAACATTGACTTTTCCTGGTTTTCATAGTTTACCCTATCAAATCATATGTTATGTAATTCCCCATGCAGGTGGTACTCTACTGGTAGTGAATCTGCTAGCGAACAATAGCATCACAAAACTTTCCCATATATTATTGGGCAGGTTTTTTTTTTTTCTATCATTTCAATTTGTATTTGAAATTGAGTTCTACGTCACTGTTATGCATTGCTTAGACTAATAAAATTGTAGAGGACTGTAGCCTAAGGTGTTCTTGTTTTTAATTTACTCCATTTCATTTGTATTGCAGGTGGCAGTACTTGCTGGAGATTTTCTACTTTCACGAGCTTGTGTAGCCCTTGCTTCTTTGAAAAACACGGAAGTAAGAATACATTAATGTCATCTAAGCATGAAAACCTAATATTTTGCAATAATCTCTTTTCTATTTAAGCAATGATATCAAGTCTTTCTATAATGCTTGGTATCTTTCAACTTTAGTCGCAGGCTCATAAGCACCTCAAAAGGAATCCTTTATTCTTCAAACTTGTTCCTTGTGGTAAAAAATGGTGGTGAAAAAACCTTGGGGTTGAGTAGCATAATGGATTGTCAAGTTTTAGCCTGTCTTCCAGTCCCCTACTTTTACTGCTTTTGCATATAGATTTAACTGAATAACATTATTTGGTGTCAATTTTATCATACATCAGTTCATTGGTCCATGCATTTCCATTTCCCATGATTATTGAGATGAGTTAGTATTAGTGAGCGCCACGTTAAGGACAATGGCATTTCTTTTTTGGTGTGGGTGTGTGTTGGGGGGTTGGGGAGACTTCATATTTTCTCTGACCACTGTTATGTGCCTCTAGGTTGTTTCATTATTAGCGACAGTTGTAGAACATCTTGTTACTGGTGAAACTATGCAGATGACTTCAACATCTGAGCAACTTTGTAGGTATGCTGCTTTGCTTTCACTTTTCTGGGTCTGTAGAAAACTTTATCTGGCTTGCCTAATCATGGATGGCTGGCTGTAATTTTCCTTTGAAAACAATGATCCAAGCGCTTGTGCATACTGACTGTTTATTGCTCTCCGTTACTTTTTAATGGAAGGGGTAAGGCAGGCCACATCAGCTTGATAGATTTTTTTGTTCCCCCTTGAATCAGTTCTTTTCACGAAGTAGTTTCAATTTCTAATAGCAGTTGTCCTTTGAAGTAGTTTCAATTTCTAATAGCAGTTGTTTCTGATAGTTTATTATAATCTAGTGCTTTCTCCATGCATCTCCCTTTCACAATAAGTGATTTGGATTCTTCATGGAATTGCAAACTATAATGAAACCTGTTGTGTGTTGAAACACGTCATTATGCAATGTCCTACATAGTATCACCAGATAGAAGTTCTTGTTTTGGCCTATTCAACCTGGACACCCTTTATGGCATTAGACAAAATGGAACGGTCCCGTTTAGTCTAATGACCATGAATGCTTTTATTTAATTGGCATAAAATGGTCTAAAAAGATGCACTTGCATAAGGTTATGCATGTGAATCAGCTGGATGACTGGGAGGCTATGAGCCACTTCTTTTTCCTTGTCTATATATGATTACACCTATCTAAGCAATGGCATGCAAAAGATTTGCAATAACACCTCAATGATCTTCCATTTTTCGGTTTATTTGACTTAAAAGGTGTTGCTATTGCAGCATGGAGTATTATATGCAAAAGACGTACTACAAGACTGCATCTTTGATTTCAAATAGCTGCAAGGCAATTGCCCTTCTTGCTGGGCAAACAACGGAAGTTGCAATGTTGGCTTTTGAGTATGGCAAAAATCTGGTTTGTGATTTCTTTCTTTCTTTCTTTTCTTTTCTTTTTTTCTTTTTTTGGGAACTCTTTTATTTGTTCCAAGTTGTGTTTTTGTTGGTGTGGACAAATTGATGGATTTCATAATTTCTGGTTAAATCTTCAGTTTCTGGTTATCATTTTACTGTCTGATACCCTTCTGTCTTTGGTTGGTCCTTTTCCTATATTCTAACCGTTTTCTTTTCCAGGGATTGGCATATCAATTGATTGATGATGTTCTTGATTTCACGGGAACTTCTGCTTCCCTTGGAAAGGGTTCATTATCTGACATTCGCCATGTAATTCTTCTATCCTTGTTATGATATCTACTGGCTGGAGATGATAATAGTTGTAAGCTTGAACTGGTTGTGATTGCACAACCACATTAAATAGTTAACAAGGTTGCATTATATATATATTCATTTGTTAGGTTGATATGTCACCTGAAAGAAATATATATTTTGCCAACTGTCTTACAGGGATGTTTGCTTCTTAATCAATCATAATATATTTTTTCTTTTGCAACAATGTTTTATGGTTTAGGTCAAAATTTGAATTAGGTTATACTTTGTTCTCAAATAAGATTGAGAACAGGCAATCTTGATTCACTTATCTTCTTGTGCAACTGCAAACAAGAAATGACTAATTTCTCTTTTTTATCGCAATCCTCATTCTATAACAACAGGAAAATGTAAAAGCTGAAGCATTTTGTTTGATACCATTCAGTCTTAACTATCATGAAGTTGGCTAAATGTTGACTCTTTTGGAAAGTTCATAATCAGGGCTCCAGATGGCACTGTCCTTGGGACAATATGACATAATGGTGGCCAAAATTTTTGGTTTTCACTTGGTTCAAAAATTCATAGCTGTCTTTATTAGCTATGACACTAAAGGCATGCTTAGTTGTATCATGCACTGGATTGAGTTGGGGTTTTTTCACTGGCATGATGTAGAATAGTGTATAGTATTTGATCTCAGTGAACTACTTTTACATTTTAAAGTCCCTACATTGGTCAGTGTCATTTCATTTGTGACATGACGACAACTCTCAACATTCTTTCTGATTCTCTTACATTTTCAGCTGCACATCAGAGCTCATTTTCATAATTTCTGGTTCAACAATGTGAAATTTTATTGTAGGGAATTGTAACAGCTCCAATATTGTTTGCCATGGAGGAGTTCCCTCAGTTGCATTCAGTTATTGACCAGGGCTTTGACAAGCCTGAAAACATTGATGCAGTAAGTTCATCTTCATTTACTGATCTCAAAAAATGCTGATGTGTGACGATAATAATCTACCATAAAGCTGAAGCTACCTCAGAGAATTGCAAACACACTACATTTTTTCTGGTTTTAATGTGCATCAATTCTGTGATGTGCCTAACATTCATGCTTAATGTCATCCAGCAACAAAAAAGCATATATTGCTTGCATTTCCGCCATCAATCAGTGATTGATGCTGAGACTTAATGATTCTGATGTGGAGGCTATGAATTTTTGTGGACTTTAGCTTTTGCATTCCAATATGGAATGTTGGAGAATGCTTAGTAATTCAAAATATTTTAAATGATTTGGAACTCCTTTTTGCATGACAAATTTGAAAAAAATGGACGGTGGTTTTGGTTTTCTATACGCAAGAGGTGAAGTACCAGATGTATGATTTGGCCCTTTGGGAGGTGTTTGCTATTGGGAATTCTGCGTTTCTACAGAGCATGATATGCTCATTCCGCATTCATTTTATTCCATCTAATCCCCATTCTTTGCTTTCTGATGTTTTCTTTACTTTGAACCGCGGAACTTGCTTCCATCTAATCCCCATTCCTTTCACTTCTTTGCTCATGTTTTACATGGAGTGTTTATTCCAACCCATCTGTAAAACTGTTTTTAAAGCATATGTAAAATGATGATGCCCTTATCGTTTCTACTGTTTGTATCATCTGTTTTTTTTTTTTTTTCCCTGTAGAAACTAATGTTAATTTATCCGAGCTGTTCTGTCTATGGATTCAGGCCCTTGATTATCTTTGGAAGAGCCGTGGAATACAGAGAACAAGGGAGCTAGCTGCAAAGCATGCTAATCTTGCAGCAGCAGCTATTGATTCTTTACCTGAAACTGATGATGAAGAAGTAAGAAAAACACGGAGGGCGCTAGTTGATCTTACTCAAAGAGTAATCACAAGAAATAAATGACAGAATATGAATTCTTGCAACATACTGTAGAAGTAAGAAAATCACGGAGGGCGTTTACTCAGAGAGTAATCTCAAGAAATAAATGACAGAATATGAATTCTGGCAACATAGAGTAGCAGGTTTTTGCTTATTTCGTATTTTATTGTTCCTGCATCTGAGCGTCTTGCTCCACATTATTTATTCAATTACTTGGATTTTTGTTCCACAATATTTGTTGTAACGACTTGGCTCTTGTAAAATCCTACTTCGTGTTAAGTCCAGAACAAAGAATGATGGATAAGAGTTACAATTAGCATTCCCTAGTGATGAATTGCTGCTTCCATCCATCATAATTTCTCAACGAGATGTGGAAATTTCCCTCTGGCAGGACACTATTGTGTTGGGGAAAATATCATGCTGTATCCTCACAGTAGACTCAAGAAAGGTTCGTCGAGTAGCTACAAGGACGATGAACGATCAAAGACTTCCGAATTTTTTAATGAAATGGTATTGTTTGTTTTGAATGAAACAACTATGATCCTGATTGCATTATGTAGTGAGCATGGATTTAAAGATACTCAACAGATATTCCTCAAGAATGATTTTTCTGAAGAATGATTGTATCAGAAAACCAGTGTTTAATCGACTATAACCAACGCCTTCTTCAATTAGCCATCCTGGGAAAGAAATGTATCAATACCCCTGGTTTCAATACAGGATGTTGGTGCAGAGGCAACAAATTTAGGAAGCACATTTGCAAAGGTGCTAGAGATTGCTAGCCATTTTCTTTGTTATATATATATATATAGAGAGAGAGGCAATATCACGCCCATTGATTTCACCAGCAAGTTGATTGAGTACAAGTATGGAGTGTTTGCTGAAGCACGTGCTCAAGACTGATGATTAATTTTAATTGTAATTGCTCAAACCACCACGCCCATTGATCTTAAAGCTCTGTCATGACTGTGATGTGTCAATGCCATTGCAGTGTGTTGTGTTCGGAAAAGAAAGGGAGACAGAGAATGTCGCCTAATGAATAAAATCTCATTAAAAATATTTTTGAAAAAAATTAAATTTTTTTTGTTTTTTATTTTAATTTTTTACATATTTTTAAATTATTTTAATACACTAATATCAAAAATAATTTAAAAAAATAAAAAAATATTATTTTAATATATTTTAAAATAAAAAATATTTTAAAAAATAATTATAACTATATTTTTAAATAAACTCAAACTCTAACTCAATTTCATTAGCATTTTGGACATGGTGGTAATTGGGTTTGATTGGGCTCTACCTGTGGAATGGTGCAGAGCCCAATTTGATTTTAATTACATAATTAATTTTGAAAAATAAACTCAAACTCTAACTCAATTTCACATGGTGGTTTGATTTTAATTACATAATTAATTTTGATATTTCTCAGCTTCCATGTTCTTTTCTTTTTTTAGGGTGCTTATAACTCTAAAACTAGTTATAATCTAAGAAAATAAATAATTTCAAATTCTTTAGCAACTTAAATTTCAGTGGAAGAAACAATTTTTATTTTTATTTATATATATAAAGTTAGTTGAAGGAGTGCATGAACGGTATTATTGATTAATATCAAACATGTTATTGACACGCCCCCTTTGAAAAAACAATCTCTAAAATTGTTATTGCGTTCATATCAATCAGAAATGTATGTTTTTTATTTTATCTTTGCAAAACTTAGTAAATTAACTGAATTGAACTAAATAAATGGATAGCTATTATATTTTTTTAGAAAATCTTAAGCAACAAAAAAAATCAAAAGAAAGTTTTAAGAATGTTTAAGAAATAAAAAAATCCGAATATAAAATAAATATATTAAAAAAATAAAAACTTGAAGATATTTAAGCAAATAAAAATCTAAAACTTTCATATAAAAGTTTTTCAAAATGCTCAGCCAATAAATTTCTTGAAAATGTTTAAGAAATAAGAAAAACATTTTCTTGTGTATTGAAAATCTTTTGGCTGAGAAATTATTTTTTATTTATTTATTAAATCTTTGTATTTCTCAAAAAAAATTTAAAAATTATACTTCTTAATTTTCTAGGACAATTAATGACTGGTTATTGTAAAAAAATATTTCGATTTTAAAAACCTTTGTTTTAGTGTAAAATAATTAATTTCTCATTCCTTAACATTTTCAATAAAAAAAATATTTTTTGATTGTAGTCATAATGTGTTATTTATCTTCAATTGAATGAAACTTAGTCTTGGGTTAAATTGAATCAATACAGGGTAAAACTTCAACAAATCTTTTTCATATGGGCTTATGTTGCCACATTGATGCAAGCAAAGCGGGGCAGGTTGGGATGTTTTTCCTACTTTTTCATGTTTTGATATTTGCCATCACACATGGGAGTCGCTATTTATTACTAAATAAATAAACGTCTTCTTATTTTGAAATCTTTCTAAATAAATAATATTTTTTTTCAATCCTTGGCTAATTTTGCTAAGTTCTCTCTTCCCAAATTGACAACTAGATTCCCACAAACAACATTTTTTTTTTTTTACACATTCCTCCACACAGAAGTTGAGCAGGAAGGCAGACTCAACATTACAATGAAAAGCACTCTGATTGAATGTAAATATCACTTGAAATGTTGAAGAAATTGATGTGATACAATAGAATACACTACAATTACAGAAAACATTAGACCAATGAAAGAGAACGGTTAGCAAACATCAAAAGACCTGCATGTCTTCATTGCAGCTCTTAAAATTTGAACGCTCCTATTGGAAACCAAAAAATTACTTTGACGTGACATGACATTCCTTCTTGCAGATCTACCGATATGTGAAGTACAAAACCGTCCTGTCAACCAGCCCCTCAAATAGTTTCCAGGAGATGATAACTAAAATAGATCAGTCCTTGACATCAGTGACGCCTTCAGCAGAGATCTGGAACCGTGCTTCAGCTTCAGCTAAACAAGGAGAACTTATTACTTTACAGATGCGCTCCTCCCCTCTTCCCTTCCGAAGAGCAAGCCTGTGGCAAGTGTACAATAACTAGTTCAGAATTTTGAAGTAAGAAACCTTCACACTCGAGAGGAGAGTTGCAGGGAGTTACCAACCTTGTTGTAGAAGCATGAGCCATGATGTTTCCACCAATAGGCTTGATTTGAGGTCCAGCAAAAATAGCAGAACCATCAACTTGTGCAACTACTTGGTTTGTAATGACAACAGCCACACCGAACTACACCAACAAAATGCATTTACATTTCTATTTGTAAAGTCTATTTGGAGCATATGCATAGCATTCACAAATGCTGGCATAACAAGAGAGGGTAAATCCAGGAAGTCATGTGGCCTAAAAGAATTGTGGGTCCAATTATGTAAACAGGTACAAATGATGAATGCTAGTTACAAAGGCAGAATGTTAATATAGATAAAGGTGGCATTCTACCTCATCTGCTAACTTCTGAAGGCTCCTAAGGAACTTTGCTAGATGCATCTGCCGAGCTGAAAGTTCACCCCTTCCAGAAAAATCTGTTCTGTATAGAGCAGTAGCACTGTCTACTATCATAAGAGCAAACCTATAGAACCACAATCCATTGACATAATTAGATTTAACTGCAAATCAAGACCAAAGAATAAAAATAAAAAAAATGCAAAGTATAGGTTCTTTGATTATTAAAGTCACACTGTAAGAACTTTATCTTTCTATGGAATCCCTGCTATACGGATTTTCAAAGCTACAAAATGTTATTCGTATACATGTATGTGAAATAGGTTCCATTACTTAATTTTAATCAGCCTTCCCGATAAAACTTCTCAGGAATTCATATCAGCAGTAGAAGAGCCAATTGTGCGCATAATCTCAGGGCCCATCAAGATTTCTTGATCCCGAGTAACAGTGGTTATGTAGAGTGATCCATACATTAGACAACGACGACAATGTGTACCTTGTTTCCACCATCATTGAAGCTGCTTCGAGCAAAAGCCTTGATTGATGATCGGTGTTATATGCCCGAGCATAAGCCACATTCTCCAAAACATCAGCGCCATTCAGCCCAAACCTGCAAGTTTTAAAACCATTACCCACTTGACAACAAGAAGGCTAGAGCAGAGGTTCTTCTCTAGGTAGCTGTATGACACCTGTCAGCTATCTGTATGAGTCTTTGTGGCCTGAATGTGCCCTCTGCATCTATGTACATTGCTTTTCCCTCCCCTCCTCCTTGATCTAATGGAAGCTGAAATAAAAGAGTGAATTAGATTCAGGGCTTCGATAGATTGCATCACTGGGTTGACAATATTGTTAATATAAAGATTGAAAGCATTGCCTATATTAGCTGGCGTACATGACAAGATAAGGGACCGCGTTAGATGAACGTGAAACGAAACAAGTAGGCAAGGCACCTTTAAAAGGCATATTGCTACCGCTGATTTGCATGGTTATTTTTATTCAGTCTATACATTCTCTTTTGCTTACTCCACAAGGTAGCCAGAGCCAGCCAGTTTTTCATCCTCTTTCTTGATATTCTTGTCCGATTGTCCATTAGAGATCACAAGTGACTTTTATAGCAACAGAACATGCAAAACTACATAATGGAATTAAACTAGTCTCTACTTATTGCAAAGCTATTCAGCAATAAAAAAATGCTCTTACTTGGCAAGTGACACATAGCGTGTGGCACAGCTGAGTTTTTCCGGAGCGGAACTCACCATACATTTCAGTAATAGATCCTGTCTCAACCCCTCCTGTCAAAAGTTAGCTGTGTGAGGTTACAACACTACAGAACATGGAAAGCGCTAATGTTCTTGAGAAGTATGGCTACAAAAATACAGTGTCTAATGTGATAGGATCATTGTTAAGAGTTGAAAGAAATCTTTGATACTTGCCTTCTAAAATTTTGTCAAGTTCTCTTTATCCAGATGTTATCTGAATTATCTCTTGCCTCTGAGCATGGAGTTGGCTAGCACTAGTAAAACCCAGGGGCACCAGTTTGGAAGCTGTACATATAAGCCCAAGTAAAGATACGAGTCTCTATCTAAACTAAGAAAAACACAACGACAAAAAATCTTGAAGAAACAAAAACAAGCTACGCAATGGCATGCCTGCTTCGATTATTTTGTCAACTTTGGCTTCACTGATTCCTTTAATCTGCAGAAGCTCTTTCCTGGGAGAAAAGGCAACAGATTCAACTGTGCAGAGACCCGCATCTTTAAGCTTCTTTACGTCAAGGGAAGCTATGCCCGACGCCTTGAGTTAAGGGTTATATATGTCAGAATACAACTAAAACTTAACCTTCATACTGTAAATGATTAACATAACATCTCAAGACT